TGGAATAGGTGGCTCGGCTCATGTTTTAGGGGACCACAAGTTGTGTTATTTTTTTTGCTTTTGGCTTCCCTTTTTGGACCCAAACATCGGGGTGGCCCCAAAGACGCGCCGAAATGCCAATGTTCCCTCTGCTGCTGCGGAACCCTCAACATGGGTTTGTCTCAGAATGGGTTTGGAAGCTTCGGAGTCCTTCTGGTTCCCCTGTAATTAACAAAACCTCAAAAAGGGATACCATTGCAAGCAAACCCTCCGCAAAAAACGGAATATCTCTACCCTACCCGGGACGCTAGGAGTTGGCCTTGCTTCCTCTACCCAAGCGACTGCCGGACCGGCCAAGCGCATGACAACCTTCCATGGAAACACCAAAAAATGGCCAGAAGCTGTACAGCAGCACGCAGCGGGAGAGTCGTTGAACGGTACCCGCCTCGAATGAGGGCAATGCTCACTGGGATTCGGTGACGCCCGATTCGCAACCCTTTGAGGTTTCAGTCTTCATATTCAGCCTACCGTATTTAAACGGGTGTGGCTCAAAATTCAAGACCTAGGGTTACGCAAATGTTCGTCTACTTTTCCTTTTGCCAGGGTTCGATTTTGGCCCCGATTTTTGAGCCACAGCCGAATGTTTGTTTGCTTGGCTTCAACGTTTGGAGGAGCCACGCCTTCACCAAAGCGGCGCCCTATGCGTCGGGCTATGCGGCGTGTTCGCGCCTGGCAGGCTGCCTGCAAGCCCTCCACGGAGTCATTCAGCTCGGCCTGGTGCATCGACGCATCGACGCATCAATGGGTCCACGTGGGTTTGCAGAGATGGCTGGGTGTCCTGTCGGTGTCCCTTTTAAAAAACCAACCCCCAAAAAAGGTACCGTGTCAGAAACACACACACACATGCTCAATAGGCAATCAGCCAAAAAGAAACCACAACATACTTTGTCCGTCCACTTTTGGTTTCCTGGCAGGAAGTTGAAGATTGACATTGGAACGTGTTAAGCAATCAACAATAGAACTGCCTTTGGGGTACTCACAAACGACTGGATCGAGGCGTTGGGCCTGCGTTTGCTTCCAGCACTCGTTGGTGCGGTCCAGCTGCTCTTGTCGGAGCCGGCATTTCTCCTGGCGACAAAACCCTGCGATAAATGTTGATGCCCTCCGGCGAAAGGAAAGGCTTTGCGATTTTTGTTTGGGAGGGTACGTACCCTTCGGGGATAGTTTTGATGCGAACCCAAGGAACGCCACCAATTTTACGAGTCTGGTGTGTGGCATTGGTATATCCAGGTTAGGATGTCTTGCCCACGAGAATCGAAGGCCACTGTGCCGTATGTTGCCATACAATTCACTTCCATCCGCAAAGCTGGGAAGGCTCTCGCACGGCTGCTGGATCGACCAAAATCAGCACCATTCCTCTCTTTGCCTTTCAGGAGACACATGTTTCTACATTGGCCGGATTTTGCCTTTCGTGTTACCAGCTCGATGTTCCCGGCGACTGTGGCAAAGCGAAAGCATGAGCGGCACCTGGAGCAAAACCCACGGCAAAGGCACTCTGTGTGAAACCCGTGAGAGTGACAAACTCAGATCAAACCCACCGGAGCACCGACTGGGTGAACATCTGCAAAAGCCAGGCCCAATGCACCTTGAAAAGAAACGCTCACCTTTTTTTGCAATGATTTCCCTTTAATAAATAGCTATCGAAAAGGGGTCCTGCATCGTACCCAATTCAGATCCTGATCCAACATGACACTATAATGTTGTCATACAAGTGGGTGAAGGGATGATGGTTCCTTGGCTACCTGATGAAAGCCGAGCATGGTGCCCGTCTTCCGGGGTCTCTCAAAGAGTCTCTGTCTTGGTCAAGTTGGGAATGGTCATCGTTACACATGGGCTCACGGCCTTGTCACGGAATCTCGATTGCTTTCTGCTCCCCTGCTAAAAGTTTAACTTTTAGTGGTTGAATGGAAAACCCATTAGTTAGCAAACAGTTAAAGTCCTAACATCCAAGCAAAATGCACCAAAGGAATGTGACCAAACCATCAACCTTTCCAAAACGGGTAGACCCAGGCCTGTGGCCAGGCTGCAACTGGCATGTTTCCGCCTGACAAGTCACTGCTCCGCCACCCCTGAGTAAGTTGCACGGTGTTGTCGATTTGCGGAACTGCCTCCCGTGTTTCGAAATGAAGGCAAACAGCACAGGGAGCGAGTTCCGTTTTGACCCGCGCGTTGAGGTTTGAGGACAACAAACCAAGCCCTCCAACAAAGGGCACATGGACCCCAATACAAAAATTAAACAAGGAATTCTACGTGCTTTCCTCACTTTTCTCGACTTTCCCCATCCCATGTCACTAGGCAAAACCCGAGCTCCTCACCCATCCGCCACCTCCGAGCCCTCCCTCCCCCCGCCCGACATCGCCCGACTTCTTCAGCTCCTCGAGGGCCGAGCGCTCCAGGGCGGCGTCCTCCTGCGCGGTCTTCAGCTTCCGCTCCAAGTCCTCCTTGAGCTTCCGCTCCCGGAACTGCGCCTGACGGATTCGCGCGGAAGGGAACCGACCCAAGGGGATTCGCGGAAATACCTATCCTCCCAGCAACGAACAGGGAAGTGCAAATCGATATCGACGCCCACCGCGAGCGGCTCATAATTACAAGAGGAAAGTCATCTTTCTGCAGGGGTCTGTGCACTTCCATGTTAGTTGCTGGGAGGGGAAGGGACCGAGAGTTTTCGAGCGAGAGACGAGAGAACCGAGCGACGAGCGACAAGGCGGAGAAGCGACTCCGACGAGGAGGACGTCGTCATATTTGGGGTGTCTCGAAACGCGAGAATAAGAGTGGGAATCAACTGATTAGATCGATCGCACTCGGCGCCTCTGTGGCCTCCGTCGCCAGCTTCTGCTGGAAGGACGCCTCTGACTTGGCCGCCTGCCGCGAACGTTTGGTTTTTCCCTCACCTGCGACTCAGCTTCCCTGCTTCGCTGGTTGCGGGGTTCAACTCCCAATCCAAACCACCAACTGGTTGCCAGAGAAAAGGTGAAAAGGCTGGAGCAACCCCGCATCCCCTCAAAACATGGGTGCTGTCTTTTGGTTTCCAGTTGAAAACCGACCAACAGTCAGCTTCCCTTCAATTGGGCTCTGCAAAATGGTTTGGGTTGGCCAATCCGATTGCCAAGAATCCCTGCAAAGCCCCTACAGAAAGACCGGGTCCTTGCGTACACCAAGGTAAGGATTAAGGATTGCCGAACGGCCCAGAAAAGGGTACCGAGCCTCCAAGAAACGGCCGTAGAAAGAAACACAAGTAACATGTTGCAGTTGTCCCACACGTAGGCACCAAAGGTTTGAGGTGAGATTGGTTCTGAAGGGTTCGATAGGGCTGGATTTAGGACCCACGGGTAGGTGGGCGGGAGTATAGGGTAGGTTTCTCGTGAGCTCACGGGATTCTTGTTTTCTTGCTTGTGTGCTTGCTGGCCTGCTTCCCGGCTTTCTGAACCTGGAAGCAATCCGGGCGAAAAAGAAGCCGCCATGAACACATACTTGCTTCGAAACTCCTGTTTTGCCTGAAGTGCTCAGCTGCGAGCAGCTGTATCAGGATAATCGCACAACTATTTGGCAAGTGGCTTAGTACTTTATTTGAACTAAGCACGTGTATATTGGTATGGGTCAAAATCGATCCTCCAGAGGATTGCAGGTTTCAGTCCCTGTTTTCATTTGCTAGGATTCCAGTTTGGGTACCTATTTTTTACCCACAGCCATATGAGGATGTGTTTGTTTTAGGGACCCCCACCCCGTCCCCTCTCCGTACCCACCTCCGACCCACCGGCCTCAAGCTCCCTCCTCAGCTCTCTGGCCAGATCGAACTTCTCGCGGAAGAGCTTCTCCTGAAAACCATGACTCAGTCGCAGGGGAAATCAGCACCCCAATTTGAAGCTAATGGGGGTGATTAGGGAAATTCAATGAACACTGCCTTGGTTCGGGCCCCCTATCCTGACACGCACACACTACTTTATCACTTTGACGGGGACTGTCTTGGGACCTTTTGTCCACGTGGGTGTCCTCAAACAACTGACCAGAGCTCACGCGCGTCCTGCTCGTCCCGCGCTGAAGCCAACTCCTCGGGTGGCACACTGCAACATGCACAAGCAAGCTGGCCCGAAGACACCAGGGTGAAAGTAGAGGGCACAATTCCCATGTGGGCAGCGCCTAAAATCCTCTCACTTGTTCTACCAATATGGTGCAAACCCTTCCAAACCCTGACGACTCATCGCCACAGGTCAATTTCTGTGGTTCAGAAAAGGGTTCTCTCAACTACAGGGTCCAGACGAGTTGCCTTTGCTTTTCCTTCTTTGAGACTAAAAATTGGACCAAACACAATGGCTAAGAAGAACCACCGCTTTTGGGAGGTCCCTAATTTGAGACACTCCCACCATCTATACAGGGTTTTTTTGAGGATGTCAACACGCTGCGGTTGACTCCTGGCGCAGGTCATGAATGATCTGCTCTTTCGCCTCCTTCTCCTGACATGTTGCATGGCCCGGCACGGAGCAAAACAAGCGTATGGCTATGATTCTAATTGGGGACCCTATGGTGGACATCATTTGTGGGGAGTTATGTCCAACCACTGGTGAGGGTGATTCATTCTCAACTCATAGCAGGCATTGAACACGTGTTCGGCTACGCCCGCATGCAGCCACACCTCAACTCCACCCTCTGCCACTCAAAAATACTGAACTTCTAAGTATAACGATTCCAAACCACAATTGCCTGCTGAGCTATTGTCAGGAAAACTGTTGTTTAAATACTCGTTCAACAATAGTTTAGGAGTTGGCAATGCCTTTCAACTTCAGCGATCTCAACAACTGATCCGCACACTGCTCCCTCCTGCTGCAGTCGATCCCTGGCAGTAGTCAGTGGGAGAACCTCCGACTCGGTCCTCGCGGGAGGATCACACACCAAACCGAGAACGACAAGCTCAGATTAGAAGCAAGGCTCCGATCTAATGACTGGTGGTATTTACCAATTGCTAGGGGGGTGATTGGGGGTCACTGTGATCCTTATCTCTCTTGCTTACACTGGCAGTAGATAGTGCACAATGACAGGCTTGAAGGGTCTGTCCCTTGTTTGCATGCCATGGGAAGAACTTTGAGCTGAATGACTTAGAGGCTTAAACATCCTTAGCCAGCTGATGAAGATTGCCAATGAAAATCGAAGCGTCCGCACGGAAGCAACAAAACAGTTGCTCACATTGTGTTCATGCGTTGTGCGTCTTTGTGGCCACAAAACCAACGCTTCCATACCAAAGCCACTGCATTTGTGAATGTGAAATTCAGGCAACATTTGACACGCTCACGGCAAAGCAAGCTAAGCTGAGCTGATGGCTGACTCCTGTAAACCATTAGCTACTAGGACAATGGCCACAATGTTTCTCTGGCTTTATCAGAGAAGTACAGGATCTTACAGAATTCCTTATACTGCCTCCTTCTAACATCACCGCACCCGGGTCACCCCACCAAAACTCAACTCACCTTTGCCGATCAAAGGTGTTCAAAGCACCGAAAATCATCCGGACCCTCCGTCTTTAGACACCCCGATTTACATTTGCATGGAATTGCTAAATTATCTCTATATGAATGTGCTACATACATATATATATATATACATATAATACATATATATATATATATATAAACATATGTATATATGTCTAGGCACATCCCAGGGGTACTTTGGCGGGGAGCGATCCCTGCCTGCTCTTCTCGTACTCCAGCTGAAACTTGGCTTGGCTCATCTCCCCCAGCCGCAGGGTCTGCCTCTCCAGCTCGGAGGCCAACCTCCGCATAGCTTTCGCTTCGGGCTCCGGTTTGGTCCGGGATCCGAAGCCGTCCCAAGATGGGGTCCGCTGCCCCCGAACCGAAGCTTCCCTCAGGGGTTTCCTGAGATATGTAGCCTAGCCTGGGTGAATTGGGATATATCGCATTTGGGTGGGTATATATGCTGTACATCCCGTTAAACCCCCTGAGGGTAGCTTCGCTTTGGGAGTATGGTTGACATTTTCAGTAAAGCCGCCCACCCAACAAGTTCATGTTTCATTGATCCACTGGAAAATATGGAGCTTGGCCGGGCCGCCGGGGTTGTCAGACGCAACCCCCCGCCCCAAAAAAACAGAGGCAGAGCCAGGAAAAGCGGGCACCAACCACAAAAATGAAGTCATACATGTGCATGAGTGTGTGTAATTTCGCACACATATATTTGTTTCACTTACCAAAAGAGGGTAACTCAAGTTCATGTGACAAAGGGGCCACCCCCCAAAGAGCTGGTGTCATCTCGCCTCCCTTCCAGCATATCAAAAGGGCTCCTTTAGATGAGCAAATTGATGACTCATGTAGCTGAACTGTGGGCCCTTGGTGATCCTCGCGGCAAAGGCAAAGTGAAACGTGACGTCCTATTGCAATTTGCTAGCTGCGCAACACACCCTATTACTACGCCCAATATAGATCGGACCGATTTTTCCGGGTATAACAACGCATGAAAAATTGTCTTCGTTTCAATCACTCAGAAACCGGTTGCGTCTTGCTAGTATCTACTGATCTGCACGGTGTGGGAATAGGCCCAGGAGTTGCCGAAGCTACAAAATAGTTGGGCGAGTCGGGGCGAAGTCCAAAATTCGGGGCCTTCCAGCTCGGGCGAGTCGCTGTTTTTTCTCCCCGGTGATACCCGAAAAAGAGCAAGTCAGCATACCCTCAGCCGCATAGAGCTACACCTCATGTACTGCGGCATAGAATAGACCTACACCTTTCCATCGGGTTGGGTCAGCCCCTCCCGGCAAAGGAAGAGTTTTGGGCTGCTCTGTTTCGGGCCAAGGATCCCCAGTTGAAGGCCTCACAACCTTGAAGCTCACGCGGAAGGTGGCCCCAGAAAAAAAAAACATGTCTCAAAGGACTCGCACAGAGGGATCCGAAAAGGCGTTCGGTGCGTTTTGGATTCGTTGGGGTTGCAATCCTTGCGTAATCCAAACGGGGCAAATGGCATGCGCGTGTCTTGAGGCGGAAAGGCTCTGGCATGTGATGCAGCCCGCCTGGCGATCTTCTCCTCTTTTCGCACCTCCTCGCTCAAGCGCAAGTCAGCCTCGCAGGACACCACATGCTGGAACCAGGGATGCTGATGAAGGACACGTCTATATTAGCATCACCTGGGTCTTAAAGACGACGCTGTGGCATACTGGGCTTCATTCAGGCGCAGGGCGTTGGGCACTATCCATGCATCGCGTGGAGAAATCCACGCACTTGCATCAACCTGCTGGTTTCGTATCACCCGCTTCGCAAGGCTTGGCCACCCGCACAGAAGCAAAAACGAGACAAGCGGCGTTGAACACATCCGCGAACGTTGCTCTTAACAATATCCCCACCCACCACTCCCCATGTAAGGCCGATGGGGCCGAGAGTTGAAGGCACATATACATGTATATATATATATATATGCATGTATATATATATATACATACACGTATGTATGTATTATATATATATATATATGTGATGTGCAACGCACACCACCAGCCCGCGCTAAAGAGCATTAAAAACGAAACCTACCAGTATGGATTCTTGTGGACCCCAATCAGGGAACTCAGCATGCTATGGCTTGCACCAAGGCCAGTACTCTGAGTTCATTTGGATCGGCAGCTGATTGAAACAGTGGCAACGGCTCCTGGTTTCTAGTCATTGGCGCCCAAGAGGCTCCCTGAAGGAAACAAACCTCAGAACCCGACATGGGCTCCACGACACCCCGATGCCTCCTCTTGCATCTCCAGAATCTTGCTGCGCAGCTCGGCTTCTAAGCCCTCCGGCGGAGCCTGCGGTTTCGGGGCTTCGAGCAATGACCGGCTGAGCAACTCGACGAGCTGCCCGTTGCGCGTTGGCGTCCAAAGAGAAGGAGGGGTACAGGGGTACCAGTGAACGGCTGGGGGAACAAAATCGAAATGATTTGAAAAACAGGAGACAGGAATGCCACACATGGTCCACCAGGCACGGTTTCCTGCTGACCAACGCCGCCGCCGCTGCAGCAGTAGAATTGTTTACGTCAGGAATCAATTTCAGCTTCTGGGGCATATGTACATAATATATATATATATATATGTCAATATACGCACCACGCAACAAACGATATTCAGCTTGGGCTACTCGTCTTCACCCGTGCCTGCATCTTGGCGTGCAAGCTCTTCCGAAGCTCCTCCACCTCCTTCTGCAACTTGTCTCGGTGGAGCTCCAAGCAGGCGTAGCCATTCTCCAGCTCAGCCCAGCCTCAGCCGATGGCCTATGCCACTGGACGACCAACATACTGCAGGTTGCCACCACTTCCGCGAGGTGTGAGGAGTGGAATGGCAAATTTCGTCAAATCAGCGCGTGCCATTTGGGAAATTTGGCTAGTAGAATGCCCCGCACAATGAAACAAAAGCTACATGAGGGGGTGCCAACTCAGTCGCTGAGAACCCGACTCAGAAATGTGTGACCCGATACAAATCCTTAGGTTTTCTCCAAGAAGGAGCATTGCCAAGTCAGCCGCTGCAAAGACCAGCAACATGGTAAACTCATTGCCTTGTCCTATCTGATAGTGAAGCAATTGAATTTGCTCACGCAACATGCATATGGTGTCCTTATGTTATTCTAGCAGATTCGAGCTATGTACAACAAACCTAACTCTTTGCACACGGAAAGTCCTCGTTGTACAAAAACGGACTAATAGATGTGTTGTGTTGTTTTCTTATTATGATTATTAAAGATCAACTTATGTTTGATGAAATGTGGTAGATTGTGGTAGTATCCACCGATGTGTGTATATATATATATACACAAACACCCATATAAATTATAGAAGTTTCAAGCACATAATGTATTCAATGACGTATAAAGGTATGCAACACGCTAAACAACACGTAGTTATGAACAGTAACATACAATTGATAGCTGTTGGTGCACATATGCGTAGCTGAGTAAGCTGCCTAGGGGTTGGGGCAGTGGACAAGTTCTAGCTCTCTGGCCGCAATTTAGTCAGCAAGTTATGGAAGTGCCCTGCGGTCCAGGACGAGAAGATACAGTGAGGGAGTAAACAACGTGTTTGTCCTTCGACTCCTGGTGTTTGTCTGCCAAACTCAGTTTCCACAACACGAGTTCAGTCTGTGAGCGCCCAACACCCCTTGAAGTTTGTTCCCAAGTGACAAATATTTCTCTAGCCTTTGGTAGAACCCCGATGAAACCAGGCAGGCCACTCAGTAAAGCCAGCCACATGGGCCACATCCAGCGTAAGCCATGCCACTTGTTCCACCTCCCAAAAGCGGGCACCCTGTTGAGTTTCAACGAGAAAACGGACAAACACGGGCCCACTGGAGAAAAAATGAAAATAACAATATTCCAGTTGGACAGTCGAGACTAGCACTAGACTCAAACTCCTCCAGTTCACAGGATACACATTCACGTCTACCAGCACCTACCTGGACTCTGCGCGCGTGCCCTCACAGAATTTGCCGCGCGGCGGTTGCTCCATTCCACACCCTCCGGCGGAGAAATGCCAGGAGGGCCCGCACCGTCCATTGCTGCCATCGCGGAAGCAAATGAAATTTGCGGCGAAGCGGTTGAAAAGGCTAAGTGCCAATTCCATTTGCTTAAGCCCCCTGGAAAAACGATCAACATCCTTCCAGCAGAGATTCCTTTTAAGATCAACAAGGGCAAAAACACATGCCTAAGAAAAAGCTATGTGCGAGCTGGAAAAGCTGTGTGGCGCCAAAAGCCCACATTTGTGGTGCGAGTTCTGGCTGCGTGTCGGATTTTTTGCAGCGCTGCAGGAGGGCATTTGGCCACGGAAATCAGCGACTTTCAAGATCTGGGCAGTGGCAAGGGAAATAAGAAACCAATCCTTATGGATGTCTCAAGAAAAAAAATCCCACAAATGCGTGGTGTCCTCTAAAGGGCTTCCAGTAAAAATACCAAGTGATCAGTACAGTAGTCCACCGCTTTCAGGAACTCGCATATTATGCTACCTCCTCCTATATTATGCTACCTCCTTGTGTATCCTTGTGGCTTGCTGATGGCAATGGTGCTTTTGCACATGAGCCGCGAGGGCTGAACCACACGCGCAGGCATGGAACTGTAGCGTGAGACACATGTGCACACTGTGGACATGTACATGTGGGTATGTGTCAAACTAGAGGGATCCCCCAAAACTGTCTGTTTTTAATGTTGGCTTCCATTGAGGATACCCTCAAAAACACAACACACACACACAAACACAAAAGCACACACACACACAAACACATGTGTCTGAGTGTGTGTGTTGACAATTCCTTTAGCCTACAGCAATGCCTTCGCCACATAGTACGTAGTCAGCCCAAACACAAAAACCATTCTTTCACCACTAGCAAGGTCAGTTCTTGATTGCTGGCTTCAGAAGGGCAACACCAAAGTCGCCATTGAAAACTAGCGAATTGATCCATGGGCCTTGCAAATCCTTGGTGATGAACTTGCCAGGAGCTTCAACGTGCAAGTCCAAGGCAAATGATGTGTAGTGCCCAAAGGTCATGTGGCTATCATTGCTTGCTTGTTTGCTTGTGTGTGTGTGCTTTTTGGCTTGCTTGTGTTGGCCGCATCTGCTCCTTTTCTGCGCAGAGTCCGCGGGCCCATGGTAGCCCTGCGCCGCAGCCGCCGCCAAAAGCTTCGCCGCCGCCGCCGGCCGCGGAGTCTTGACGCCGCGGCCCTGGAGGTAGCACTGGGCCAAGTGCCACATGGCCTCCGCATCGCCTTGGCGTTTTAAGCTGAAGGTCCTAAGGATACGGGTGCTCTTTTTGAGGGTAACCTATTTTGTGGTTTTAGAGGGAAACAAAGGAAACCAACCATATTGGAGGGCTCCCTAAAAATGTCATACCTGTGTTTTTGGGCAACTGCAAATGGAAGTGCAGCTTTGCTTCCACATCCCCCATTATTGAGAACCCTTCAACGTGCAACCGTTATGGACCCAATACTTGGCCCACCAGGAAGAGAGCCAATCATATTTTGTCTGATTCTGATTCATATTTGGTCTACCCTAAAATCCGAAGTGGCTTTGGCTGGCCTCATTGTTCTACCATGATCAAAGTCAGCCCCCAAGTGTAGGTCAAAGGCAAACAACCGATTCCATGCTCTGACTTTGATATCCTCCAGAAACAGTCCAAATATGTGTGTGCCTGGTTTTTTTGAAAGGGACCCCCCCAAAAAACCAAACAACCACATAAAATGGGTGGGTGTTTTTTTTAGCGTCCTTTAAAAACCCACAACGGGGGTCCCTCCAAAAAGACGAGCCCACTGAGACTTCGTAGCTAGCGGCCCAACTTGGCGAAGCGCTTCCACCACAGCAGCGCCTCGCGATCCAGGCCCTGAAAATGCAAACCCGCGAGAACCCCAAGGCGCGGGGCGAAAATCGGGAACCCCCTGTCTCACCCTCACCCCCCCCCCCAAAAAAAAAAAGCTAAGAAGAAGCAACAAAAACACCGCACTGCTCCTGTTGGTTGTTGGTTTCCCAAAAAAACACGCTGTGGTTTCATGTTGGTTGTTGGTTTCCAAAAAAAACACGCTGTGGTTTCCTGTTGGTTGTTGGTTTCCAAAAACAACACGCTGTGGTTTTCCTGGTGGTTGTTGGTTTCCCTTTGAACCAACCCTAAGAAGGAAGCCTCAAGACATACACACACATGTTACTTGGCCCGGTCTTCCAAAAGGGGCGCTGTACCTTCCAGTTTGGATGGTAGGTGCGGCAATTAGCGGCTTCGACACCTCAGGCTTGTCGGCTTCAAATTTTAGGGCTCCCCCGCATTTCTTGTGTTTCGAATTACAAAAAAGCCCGCAGTTTTTTATGGCTTGGCAGTTTGCAGTGGAAAAAGGCAGCGCTATCCAGCTCGATTTTCAGACTCGTGTCACGTCCGCCCGCCGTTCGGCCTTGCTCTGCAACACCTTGGCCCAGCTCTTGGCCGCCAGGGCGTGCTGCTGCACGGCGGCACGCTGCAGCCAGAACTCCTCGAAAGTCCTGGGAGGCTGACAGGGGGGAAAAACCAACCTTTTGTGGCGAGGTCCTCCAGTAGAGAGGTTAGAATAAGGGTTCCCGATTTTTTTCTGTAGTCTATTTTAGTAGGGGAACTCTCCCTCAAAAAAGGGTAAAAGGGCACTACTGGGGGACCTAGGTGGGAAAAAGATCGACCCCCTCGTAGTGAAGGATTCCAATTTTGAGGGGGTTGCCGATTTTCTCACAAAAGGTGGCAAAAAGACACCCCTGGGCGCTGAAGATCTTGCAATGGGTGTGACATGGGTACGTGGGTTTTAGCGGGTCCAAGGACCGCTTGGTGGAACGAGTTCGGGGATTCATGTCCAAGCACTTGGTGAGGTGCCTCCCTTGGTGAGGTGGTTCCCTCTGTTAATTCATAGACGTCAAACATAATGGGTTTGTCTGAAATTGGGGAATCGTCAAAATGGTTTTTAATTCCCTCTTAGTTTCGCTTTACACAAAACAAAAAGAGACCTAAGAAAGAAACACCCGAATCAAATCCTCAAACCCTAGCCGAATTTGATTGGGTGAGGTCCCATGAAACAGGAGATACTCCAATTTTGGGGAAACAGCCTCTATTCATCCACCAGGTGTGTAAATCCAGGGCCAACAGTACTCATTTAGAATATGGTTTCTTCATCTCCTCCGCACTTCAACTAGGAAACCAACGGACGACCTGCTGCAGGGAGCCGCCAAGAAAACCATCCAAGAAAACCTTTCCAACCCTCAAAGGTTGGACCTAGGTGAAGGGCCGAAAAACCAACATGTTCACCACTCAGCCACAACCACGGGTGGTTTCACAACAATGCCAGGTGAGGGTCACAACCACCTCAAACTACCTCAAACTCAGCCACAACAATGCACCAACAAAATCACATCTTCAGTTTGAGGTAGTTTGTGGTCATTTGCCAAGCCCTTCGCACAACTCATGTGGTCAATGTCATCAGCTCTCTCGCTTGTTCCCAGCAAATGCCACACACTTGGCTGTGTTGAAAATCTGGTGACCAGGTGCTGAGGAACATTGCACGCTGCTTTCTTGCAAAACACCTGGCTTGCTACATATGCCTGATTTGTGCAACGCCCTGCCCCCCCCCCCCTCAAGCAGTGACTTGTACGGCAGCCTGTTGGCAAACTGCGCTGTGCTTTGCCCGTGTTTCGCAGGTGCTATGAGCAAACATCTGGCAAGTGCTCCAAATTTGCCCAAAGTGGACAGTGCCCTCAATGATGGCTAGCGCAATTTGAGTTGAACCAGCGTAGGGCGCATAAAAATGGATCACCGGCTGGGGGTCTTGCCGTTCAGCTCAATCCCATCGAGTTGTTCTAGAAGTTCAATGATTTCACTGCCTTGTATTGGACACGGGATAAAGGCATCTGAAAAAACATCTAACAGGGTGCCTGCAGGGCCTGTCCGCCTGTATTCAAGGTCATGCACGAAACCTGCCCCCCAAACCCATCCCACGCACGTTGAAAAGCGAAGAGCATCGCGGCGTGGGCAGGCGAAAGTTGCAAATTTAGTGAGGGCGTCTGAGGGCGCTCAAAAGCAATCGCCCTCTTGGCAGTCCAGCGATGGAAACAAATTGAGGAGCCAGCCATGGAAAGCCGATTGGTCAGTGAAGAAATCGAATGATCGGAACATGGAAGCAACTCCGATTCCTTCGTTGAACAGCCTGGGACATCGAAATTGTGGAAATGTGGACACCAAAAGAAATGAAAATATGCCAACCGTGGTTTGAAGGGTACCAACTTGGGGTACCGCTGTTTAAAGTCCTGACTAAATGTGTTGGAATGTTTCAGCTGTGACCTGCCTCTGCCAATGTTTAGTGCGCCGAGAGTGACATGGGAACTAGAAAGCTTGTCGCGCCCCACTTGAGTAGCTGTCTAGCGAGAAGCCTCCTTTTGCATCTGAGAGTTACTTGCCCAGTGGGACAAGGGACAAACTGACATCCTTTACTTGACGTCTCGCCAAGCAAAACCGACCCCAGACAAAATTAGCGGACTGGGTCCAAGTACTGGACTGGGTCCTCCGGTCCCCATTGAGCAGCTTCAACCCCTAAGAATGTAGGTAAAATCCTGATATAAGGGTGTAGTTTATTTTTGGTGAACATTTTTAACCTTCAGCGGCTGGGATGTTGGTCTTTAATTCAGGTTTACATTGCGAGTTTTCGGCTTGGAACATTTCAATGCTTAGGCATCTCCATCATCCAGCTTGGGTTTCACTTCCCCGAACACAAACGAGCCCGCTTTCGGGCACCCAACAAAACAAAACACTCTCCAAGAAGTCTGCCACACGTGAGAGAAGCACCCCCATGGTTTGGCCCGGAGCCAAAAGGGAAACCAAAACCTGGGAGGGGGCCCCGACTTCGTGTCCCATCCGCAAGATGGGCTCAAGGCGCCGGTTGGGCCGTTTCCAGCGCGCCAGCTCCCACATGGCGTCCCCGTAGCCGCCCAGCGCGCTGTGCAGCACCCAGGCGCGCGCCAAGCGCGGGGCAGGAGCTACCCCTTGGCCGTGGAGGTACCTCACTCACCCGCTGGAAAGCATCTTTCAAAGGGTTTGGTTGCAGGAAAATCTACAAGGGATGGCCCCAAACACCCTAAACAAGCAGTTTTCCTGTATGTCCTGCAGCCCAACCCTTTGAATCTTCAGCTTCCCATGAATCGGTGGTTTGGAGCCGAATCGTTCTTTTTGGTGAAATGGAGGGGGAACCGCATTTACCCTCTACAAGAACCGTTTCACATCCGAATCCAAACCACCAATCCAAACCACAAACTTAGGGATGCCTGACATCTTGTTGGACAGCTGGGTTTGTGGCAAACCACTTCCCACCAGAAGGAACCACACAGTATGAGGCCTTCCTAAACTCGAAAACTAACTGGGTGATTGGGAACATGTTGGCTCCCGCATACCCAAACAAACCAAGGGGCGCCTAAACTAAAGCAAACACACCCATAGAGTTTCCTAACTAGGGAACCAACGGGAAGGCTCCAAAAAAAGATATCGACGACCTTTCGGAGTTTCCAAAAATATGTTATTTTTCTTCCCAAATACCCAAGTCATTCAAACCGGGTTCCCACCACAAGCCATAGGCTGGTGGCGCCGAACTTAGTTCCAAGTTTATTTGGTATATATTTATGTATTTTTTCCCAGCTGGTCGCATGGTGCCCAGCACATAGGCTGCTTCCAGGTCATCCTGCTCGGCTGCCCGGCGCATCCACTTGGCTGCAGGTGCCAAAGCCTCCCGAGTCATTTGAGTTCGGGTTTCGGTTGTTTTTAAGGGACCCTCCAAGTGGTTGGTTTCCTCTTCTCAGTTGTTCAGTGACCCTGGGAAAAAAGGAACCCTTTTTTGGGAAGACCATTTTTAGTGGGGCAGTCACCAAAAAGAATGGAAAAGGCTGCCACGGAACAACTGAGTCTTGTTTTCCCTCGAATCACTTGGGTGTTTCTCAAAATTAGGTCTGGTTGGTGTCCTGCTGGTTTCCGAGTTGGCTTCTTTTAAAACCATCCTAGCGGGGGTCCCCTGTTGTTGAGTACCTCCTGGGCTCGTGTTCTTGTTGAGGCTACCCTTTTCACCTTGGTTAAAAAAGGTCCTTGTTGGGCGTCACACTTTGACATATACCCGCTGTGGATTGGCCAAAAGATACTGAACTCACCGATCTGATCGGGTCCAGTTCCCTGCACCCTCCCTGAATCGAACCTGCTGAGCCTCCCCAAGCGGGTTGGCAAACTGACCCCAGCACTGAATGGAGGCAACCCATGCATGTTTGTTCCCAACTGAAATGGGACCACATCTTCCTGCTCGCCAAAATCGAAGGGCTCATAGCAAGCCTATGCCCTCAGACCCAAACCTATGCCCAAAACCCGCTTGGCCAGGTTGAGCCAGGAAAAAAGAAAAAACCCTCGGGCCTTGCCTCCTTCCTTCGACCAGGTTTCGGCCAAGTGCTTTCAACAGTCGCCTGCTGGACTCCAAAAGGGCGGAACCTCTCCGCTGCGGAGCAAAGGCAAGTTTGACATGTTCGGACCTTCCCCCTGGTCCGCATTTTTTTTCGGCCCCTCACAAATCGGGGATGGTGAGTAAGTCTTCGAATTGTCGGACCCTCACAAATTTCGGGATGGTTTGATTAATCTTTCGGACCCTAAGGGTGTGGGTCTGGCTTTTCACCGCACATCTTGCCCAAGCCTTCGGCCCCTTCCGACTTCCGCCGCATCGGCCTGCGCCGAGGCCAGAGCGAAGGCCAGGCTCTTCTGCGCCGTGGCGAGGCCCGAGCCGGCGGCCGCCTCGAGAGATCCAGCGCGTCCGTTGATGAAACTCTTGCCCAGTGGTTCCGTTTGCTCGGAGGGAACCAAGGGAGCAAACCCTTCCAAAACCAAAGGGAAGATGGTGTGTTGCCTACTATGGTGGAAAACTGGCCATGCTTGGGCCCCTCGAATTACACATACCATTGAGCTGCGCAAACAGGCGCTGTGGGCCGCTCACCATGGGCCAGCAGGGAAGCGTCCAGGCATAACTAACCCTTGTTCACACTCCACACAAGCCTCGCCCGATACGAAGAAGCTCTTTGCCACAACAGCGACAAGTCGACAACCAAACTGAGTAGCAAAAGACAATGTAATTCTCGTGTCAGGAAGTCCGCAAATCTTCCACCAAACCTTTTGAGGAAGTCAACACAGCTATGGCCCAAGCACATTTGCATCACGCATTCAACTGGCGTCCAAAACGGCCTGGAGCCACTTCATGCTCTCCTCAGCGTCCGACTCTGCCAAGAGAAGTCCCAGGTGGTTCCTGCAGCCGACCCGTTTGAGCTCAAGTTTGGGAACCCCAAGAACTTGTCCGCCTCTTTTTGTCCCAGCTGAAAGCAGATGGCTTTGGGGTCGATAAAACAGGCTCCGGAGTGGTCCGGAGCCGCTCCAACCGTTGTTGAGTTCCGAAAGAGTCCCAGGGCGATTGGAGATACCACCTGAGCTTAGAATATACATTTCCTTGGAACCATTTACCTTCAAGCCAAGTCTTGACAGTTGTCCCCCCAGCATTCCCTTGGAACCATTTATACAAATTCAAGCCAAGCCTAGCTGGTTGTCATATGTCGTCATTGTCAGGAGACTCTCCCCATATCTCATATCCTTGCTTCCCTCATTCTCTTTACTCATTGGTTCCTCTGAAAAAGGCAGGTTCCGGGGGGTCGGCAAGAGACGTCAACTAACTCCATGGGTATGAGCCACGTGCCTTGAAGCAGGCAAGGGTGTGCTAAATGAATGAAGTTGCTGGATGTGCGAATAGTTGCACTTCGGTTTTGGTTGCACTCAACCATCTGATTGTGCATGGCCAACATCAGCAAAGCTCTGCGTGGATAACGTTCGCAGTGGGGAACACACTGAACTTATCTGTAATGTGCAACAATCCTGTGCCCATGATTCTTCATAGGGGACCATAGGCGACCTTTTGGTGGAGATCATTGAGGTTGGGTTTCATGTTCACCAACCTCTTTCGAAGGGATCCCTATCCAAATTCGTAGCCATATTCTTGAAGTTGTGTTCTTTGTGAAGAGTTTCGCTTACGCGGGCCCTTGATATGACACAAGTCTTGCTTGGGATGTAACTGAGGGTTTTTACAGCTGCTCAATGTGTTTGCCTCATGGTTGCAATCAAATCATCATCTAAACGTTAGCCGCTACTCAGTCAATCCACAGATTCATGCCTGCGCCACAACAAATATGATCAAACACATTTCCCCGCAACTGTCCGCGCGGATTCCCCTTCCCACCCCCTCCCCCCCCTCGTTGCCCACCCCCAACCCTCCCGCCGCGAGAAAACCAAGCGGCGCCGCGAAGGGGTGCCCCAACTCCGCAGCCGCCGCATACAGCTCTAGGGCGCGATCCGGGTCTGCGGTTTTGCCGCCAGTGCCCTGCAAATACCTCGCCCGAGCGGAAAAACAATCCGGGAGCCGCAAATCTTGGCGCCAAACTGTCAATTGCAAATACCTTGCAATGGATAGAGAATCACCGATGGTCGGTTTGGCACATGGTTTTGTTTTGCCCAAGCCTTCTTTGCTACCAAGAAGTGGCCCCCAAAAAATTGTCACAGGCAAAAGGGAAGCAAGGCTGCTAGCAGCCAATGGTCAAAACAAAAACAGTTTGTTTGGTCCACTCCTCGGATGCCCATGGGTTAGTCCTGCCCCACGATCCTTGCAGTGACCCCCACAACTCCAGTGCGACAAATAAGACTAAGGATGGAGGATCTTCTCAATCGGTCAAAGCTAGGTGCAAAAGTCGCCATGGTTCCTTTGAACAACCAGTTCTAGGCTACCGTACGTTTGCTATGACTTGCTTTGCCCAAGCCTGTGGTGGCAAGAAGCCAAAACAAACATCGTCGATCCCGGGCAAGGGGGCGATCAGCCAATGCAAGGCAGGCGGTTCATCTGGTGCACTCATACCCATGGCTTGGTTCAGGATCCACGGGTTGAGAGAGGAAGGCGCAAACTGGCGTCGATTGCCTCAGGGGTTGCGGTTGTTTCCATTTCCCTATGTACGCTGCTAAGCTTTACCCTTGGAGGGCCCTTGTAGCAATCCATGAAGAAGCATATTTGTGGAATAGGTGTACATTTTTCATCCAGACTTCGCACTTGGCGTTTGCCCCATTTCTGTGAAAGACATCCCTGAGTCCGAACTGTGACTGTTGCTCTTCAACCCATGGCTTGCTATCAAAGTGAGACTTTAGGGTGTAGTCTGGCTTCAGGCTTGCCAAAAGGCCCGACACCCGAAAAAAAATGTGAGAATTGCCCTTTGAGCGGAAAAGGACACCTATCTTTCTTCATCTACGAGTGGGGCCAGCAGGCTTTCGAGCTATGCGGAAATGTCGTAGGCATTAGCCCGATGCTACATGGTACCGCGGCTACCACGAGGGCAAAGGGCCAACCAAATGGTTGTCAAGTTGGCTTTAACTGAGCCAGAACCATGTATCAAAGCCAGCTGACAGTTTTTTGCTACGTCAAGTTGCTGCTCCGCGAGGTTGAAGAAGGCATCGGGGTCCCCCTTCTTCGCCGCGGCGTCGTACCACGGGGTGCTCCGCAAGGCAATTGCCGCCGCCGGCTTTATCCAAAGGACCCTGAGCCAAACAAGGCGGCTCGTGTCCTATCCAAACATGTGTGTTCTTGTTTGATAGGACAGGACATCCATACATGTTTCCAAACTTGTATGTCGTGTCCTATCCTATATGCCAACCACACATCATTTCAGAATCTGGAGAAAGAGCTGGGGCACAACCGCAAATCATCTTCCAGTGCCTCGGATAGAACATATGTAACAAAAGTGAATTCCCGAGCTGGGGGTTCCGTGAAACAACAGGCATGGCTTGCAAGATTGAGGCTCCATCTTGTCGGCACAGCATTCCAAGTGATGACGACCGTGCTGCCACGCAAGTTAGCAGCTAGATCGCGCGCCCTCACTTAGTAATAGGCCGGTACGGCAAAACATGATTCGGCGGCACAATCAATGGGCTGGCTTATTTAAATGTGACCGACGCTGTTGATATGACCTGCTTCACTGAAACAGTCGATTCTCAACTGCCATGACCCTTGATGCTAACCCTTTGAAACTCCAAGACCTGACCTGATTGGAAGAGCCTGCCGCCATTCAAACTGCACGCACATGTGTTCCCGCCTTTTTGTTAACTCTGTGCAAAATGCAAACAACACAGCGCGCACAACACGCAGCATGATTTGTCAAGCATACCAAATAACATGACTCATGGAAACTCAAAAATAGGAATGGCTAACACTTACCTGTTTGCTGTGCTGCATGTTCCTGCGTCCTTCTCGACTCCAAAAAATCAAACACAGCCTCAAGACAAGACCGACAAGCCGAGCTGCAAACTGTAGCGGCTTCCAGAGAACAGCCGCACCCCATGCTGCAGGTTGAAGGAATGGAGAAAAAGGTCCCCCGGCTCCAAAAACACAAAACCTCAGCCATGCTGCCGTGGCAACATGCCCCAAGTAGCACATCCTGTCAAACCCTTGGGGTCCTCCAATGCCACTGGAAATTCACATTCTGTCCCATGAACTAGCGCCTCAACTTGCATTGGCATGGAAGGCAAACTGGGGCAAACAGGAAGGGGGGCGAACAAGCAAATGGAGTCAACATGACTCATGCCTGCTCAGAACTGTCAGTTGGCGCTCCAACAGCAAGCAGTTGCAAGGATGAGACACTGCCCTCTGGCAGCGTGGGTGTGCTTCTTGCGGGTGTTGTTTTATCCTCCAATTTTGACATATTTGTCACAGCTGGTGCCAGGCTAGCTTCCGGACACCCATTGTCCAGGATTCGCTGACCGATAGGTTCGGTTGATACCTTTTAATTGTATATGCGGTCAAATCCAGGTCCCATGAGTCGCATGAATTTCGATTGGGGACCCTTTGATGGACATGGCGGGAATCAGGTAGTTCCCTGTCAAAACTATAGGCAGCTGGCGGCATCTGATTTTTGGAATGGCAAAACCGGCACGCACCCAACGGCCGCTCAGAACTGCCGAGGTTCGTCGAGAACGAGCATTCGGCTGCGGTTGGATGTATAGCCCCCCATCGTACCTCAAGTCGGGTTTGTTGGGCCCGCAGGATGGAAAACCCGGACTGCGGCCCTACACGATCCTGCCATTGTGCTTGGCGGTTGGCCTCGTAGGCCCAGAACGGCATCGAGGACGTCAAGGTCAGGAACAACGCTCAATCAAAAGTCTTGACGCTCCAGTCAACTTCAACTGGATGACTGCAGCCGATCAAGCATGGACATACTGCACAAAAACGTTTACAAACCCGCAACACAGACCTTGCCAAATATTCAACTCTGCAGTTGTACTGTGGCAGCCTTGGGTAGGCGCAAACGGACAAAGCGGCGGCAGTGTCGAACAATATTGTCAATTGGAATTCACAGAGCTTGACAGAATTCTGGTGACTAGACTACTTCATGTGCAGCGTTAATGGTCAATTCAAATGACGTGGAGCTCGGCATCTTTTATGCTGATAAATTTGTGGTTTTCTTCTGAGTGGATACTTTGTGGTCTCCTGAGCAAATTGCACATCATGTTTGGCTCTGATTTCGTCCACCAACCCAAAATCCCTCTCATGTTGTTTGAAACTTAAATTGTATAACGATTCAAACACAAGCCCAAATGAGGTCGGCTATCCCCGCCCACCAAGGAAACTACCCAAAAATACGGGGCTGGATTAATCGGCCGCGCAGATTTCAAACCTTTTACCAGGCGAGGTTCTAACAAATGCATTCCACCAGAGGCCAACCCTTTGTTTAAATTTGATTAGACCCCCTCCTTAATAAAGATTGTTCTCTCCACCCAGTTGCCTTCCATTTGACAATTGGTTTAAGCTCCCCGGAAAAAAAAGGAATTAAAAAAACAAAAACAAAACGGGAGGGATAGATTCCCTTTGAAACCAACCAAGGAAAAACATTTAAAAAGAAAACAACCCTTTCAGCAAATGGCAGATTCTTAAGCCCACCCCCAACAAAAATGGGGGAGGGGCTTCAAGAATATCCTTCGGTTTCCCCGGTTGCTTTTCCCTGAAAGTGGACGATTGCCAGCAAAAACTCGCTTGCTTTCTGCTCCCCTCCTAAAAGTGAATAACTTTCAGTGGTTTAATGGAACACCTTTTAGTTGGCAAACAGTTAAGTCGTCCTAACATCTAAGCAAAACTCACCAAAGAAAACCATGGCTTCCCCCATCGAGGTGCTCGTTGGGGCGGGTGAGCCCCAGCACCACCGTGGCAAAGGCGTGGCCATCAAAGTGGAGGCTGTGCGCTCTGCGCTCCCCCGTGACCTGGCGAAGCGAGGCCGGATCCGTCCGGAACGCGCGGCCGGATCCGTCCGGAAGCGGAAGCGGCCCAAAGGAAGCGTCCCCTTGCTGGTGCTCCGGGAATGAGAAATGGACTGAACCTGACAAACCATAAATGGAGTCCTTGGAGGGCCATACCTGGTAGTTTCCTTTAAGGGGACATTCTGACCATCCAGTCAAGCGTCCTACTGTGGGGGGACGAAATCCTGCACTTGGGTAGACGAAACCCTCTAAGTCGGATAAACCACCTACTAACTGCAGGATTGTTTCCATCCACATCATTGTGGGTCAAAAACAGGTGAATGGAAAGGACTAAAACCTGCGGTCCAATTCCTGGTGGTTTAAGTTTGACCATCCGTTTAAGCGAATCCATGGTTTCACTCTCAAAAGTCTTGGATGGATGGATGGAAGCAGGAAGGGGAGTAGCCAAGGTTTGCTCCGGGAAGCTTTCGGGTCTGTCTATATCCACCAAATGCCATGCTCACAATGAACATTTGTTTTGTCCCTTTGGAAGAAAGTCAGCTTAGGGTTGATTCCCCATTATCTTAACCCTTCGTTCTCTGTAGAAACCAGACATTTTCACGGTGAATTAGCCCATTTCCTGATGAGAACGGGAAAATGTACGGATAGAACTATTGCTTCGTGGGCACAAGTCGAGTCAAGGGGTCACGCTGGACTCTCGGCAGTTGACGACAGGTAACACTAAACAAGGATCAAACCACGTCATGTTCAGTGATATTTATTTGGGGATTTTTTGGTGGACAGCATTTGGGACTCCACCATGTCCACCAACCACCTGTGAGGTCCCAAATCTTTCTGGCACGTGTCTTAACCTTCGTTAGGCCCAGTTGCAGAATGTATATACTGTTTGCTTCACTTTGAGTCACCAGAATGTAAAATGTATAAGTCAGCGCAGTTAAGTGCTCCCTCTGCCAGGCTGCGTAGCGCCTCACCAAGATCTCCGCAGCCACGCAGCTGCTGCACGAGAAGCTGTCGCGCACCAACGGCACCACGGCATCCACCAAGGCCCCCAACCGCTTGCCGAGGCCTGGGTCCGCCCATTCGCCTCAGCGCCCAGTCATCGGAGGTGCCACACCGCGCCAAAGGAAACGAGCTCAACCTCAACATGTGGTTTGTTGGCTTCATGTCAAATTTCAAGAGGAGCAACTGTCACTTTAGAAGAACACAACTAAAGGATGGATCATGGTCATTCCCCATATGTGTCGAGGAGCAAGCGTCATGACCATCGTCCACACATGCCCGAACATGACAAGACTGCGTTGAGAGTGCATTTCATATACAATGGTCGGATCCCAAACCGACGATTATTTTTGTTCAACCAGGGCCATAAGCCGCACCACGCTTCAGCTGAACATGAACATGTTTGCGTTGTTCACGTTTCCGCCACAGCGCCGTTGACCATTGGATAGAACTCGAAAGTGGGCATCTCATCCACCGAATCCGGTTCTGTGTTGTACTTCCGACTCTTCAACTCTGCCAGCACGTCTTGGGCAACATCCTGCGTCATCAGTCCCTTCAAGTGCACGCACCTGCCAGCGACGCAACAAACCTCTCATCCAGCGACGCAACAAACCTTGGTGTGAGCAAACAAATTAAGACAAATGCCTTCTCTTGGATTGTTGTCATGTTGGGTCTTGCAAATGAAGTAACAGCAAGTTACAGCCTGGCCTGCTTCTGTCCCCAGGCTGTCCCACCGCTTTCTCCAAAAGCCAGCTGCGTTCTATGACGTCCGTTCCACCCACAACAATGCGTTTTTCCAGATGCGGTTTTTCCATGTAAAGCACCGCCGCCACCACTTGGATGTTGAAACACCAGCGCATGGCACTACAGTAGGCGCCATGGCAAATGTGCCGACGGACGAATTCCAATGGCTGAGCCCACAATCGGTTGCGAATCCTGGAGTCGGGCAAACGTATTTTCAACCCTATATGCGATTTGACGATTTCCTCAAGGCCCTAACATTATTCTTGCGAGATTGTTCACACAAAAAACAAACCTTGCAAAAACAAAAGGGTGGACGGTGTCCTCATGAATTCCATGGATCATTCACATGTCACATCTCACACCTGCCAGTGCAAGGTGGCCTTTGTTTTGCTGCCAGTCAACATCTGCATCTGCCCATGCGGTCACTGCACGTTGGGCGATGCCTGCAATCGAATGCGTGTCGGTGAGCATGCTTCGGGCACGTGCCCGCAGGTGTCCACAGGGGTGTTGAATGAAAATTCAAACCAACCAAATAGCTTGTCAGCGCACACACACACACAGACACTGGTGCACAAATGCATCATGACTATGGCCACGTATTGCACAGCTGGTTTATGGGAAATGGGCCAAACAACAGTTGGAGTTGTTGTTTTGCTCGCAAAAAATCATGGTCCATGCTCCTTGGTTTCGGCTGCGCAGACTGTGCCATGGGTTGTCACGACTGGAATGATTCACAGGCGACGGTAAATGGTGTAGTGTTTCCGCAAGCAAAACGCAATGTAGAGAACGAAACAAGGCAATGGAACGTTTTTGTACACGCCCTATTGTACCCATGCAATGTTGAGGCTGGATATTCCGCTGTAAATCTGGTGACCGAGTGCTCAGGAACACGTGCGCTTACCTTCTTGCAAAACGCCATCCTGATTTGTGTGACGCCCTACCCCCCCCTCCAAAATGTGGTTTTGAGGCTGCCAGCATGATGTCATTTGCGCTGCGGTGGTCCATGGATTGTGCAACTGATATGATTGAGTTCAAACGTCGTGGCGGTGCATGAAAACCTTAGGCGTAGGCCGTGCAGCTCAATGCTCGAGTCCAACGGAAGTCAACAAGGTCTCGTCAATTTATGCCTTCCGTTGGAGAATTTGTCTCAACACCAAATGAAAGCACATGATGAGGCTAGACATCCAAAAACAGGGTTTCTGGGCAAGGGAGGCCAAGTCCAGGTCGGTTTAGAGATTGGTTGAGGGCTGGCGCAGGGTGCACTTAATTGCACTTGGATTAGAGGCTTGCAGGAAACCACGACAGCTGCCAAACACCAAATATATCAAAACAAAAACGCCCAAAACAAACCCTCTGATATCCTCTGATACCAATTGGCCTTCATTGGGGCTTTGTCTGTGGCGGGACGCGCCGGGTGGGCGATGCGCCAGCCGGGCGGACGGCCGGGGGCAATTGCGCGACTGAACCGACCCGGCAAAAAGAAAACATTGGAAGACGCTTGTTTCATAAGACGACTCATGAAGCATCTCTCGGAGAAGCGTTTGATTTTACAGTTGGAACAACTTGTTCAAGGCATTGCTCCAAAGAATGTGTTTGTTGTTCTGCAATCCATTCTCTTCAGCTACTGCCACGACCATGTCTACTAGCCAAGGCCACACAACCAGCCAAGACCATTTCCGTTCAAACCAAACAACTCAAAATCACCAGCTTCACCAACGCAGTTTTGGCGGTTTGAAGTCCATGTTGACACCTCTGAATGGCAACTGGGCAGCCCAGGGAGCTGCACTGTATGCAAAAGCGTCAGTAGACAGGATAGAAAAAGGGTACCTTTTTTTCTGTAGTCTATTTTAGTAGGGGAACCCTCCCCCAAAAAAGGGTAAAAGGGCAGTTTTGCGGGACCTAGCATATGATCAAACCGGTCTTTGCTGCATACCCCTCCTGTTCACATTGCCATGAAACCTGACGTTCCTGCTTTGGATCCATTTTCCTACATGCTCTGGTTCCATGGCAAGGTGGACAGGCGGCAATGTGATCCAAACGCCATGGGCAGCATCGCCGTCGCCTCGAGACGGCAGAGGGGGGAGGGAGCGCCTCAAGGCGCGAGATTCGCGCCTATGCGTCAGGTTCCGCAAGCCCAGGAAGCTCGAGATAAACCGGGTGGTTCAAAAGACGGTCAAATGCTGTCCTCGAAACAGCTGCTAAAAGATGAAAGGTTTGTGGGTTAGATGGAAACCCCCACTAAACCAACTCAAAACCCAAAAGCTGAGGGCATGCCTGGGAACCCCAAGAAAAAAATTAAATAGAGTGTTGGCCAATCCACATCCATAACCCCAGTTGGACCACTGAGGGGAGCCCTTTCGTAACCCAAGATGAGGAAAGAAACAGTCCATTGTGCAAGAGCCAAGGGCTGTCTGACAACTATGCTACTCCTTGTGGCATGCTTTGTCGCCTCCACGAACTCATGTGGGTCATGATGCTTGTCGCTACAAATTAATCACTTCTTGTCCGGATATCAACGGCCACCCGAAAGTGTCGAATCGCAATCCTGAAAATCAGATGTGCACCTCCCCATGCAAAGGGTTCGTCTTCTGACTCTTCGATCTTGCTTCTAAACGGCCGTTTTCCTATGCACCATCTTTCAAAAGGTTACAGCAGCAAGGATCACACATGTCAAACCCCAATTCGGGCAATATCCAGCTGATCTTCCGCCCTGCGAGACCGCATTTTCGCATTTTTGCGAGCTCACTCCAAGCCTAGCTCCTGCAGCAAGGCTTTTGCTTCTGCTTTGGCCAGGCTATCCAAGATGTAGCCGCCACCCGTTCGCAGCGACCGAGCGTCTTGATTAGCAACTCGTCGCACGAAGTCTTCCATCCTCGGATGGTTGGTCAGGTTGCTTGAATTTGACGCTGAACCACCTTCCACGGGCTAGAGGATCTGCAACGTGTACAATATTTTTCGCGAATCATCTAGGTATTCTTTAAGTAAAGGGACTTCATCACCTCGTTTTACCCACCCACCCACCCACCCACCCACCCACCCACCCACCCACCCACCCACCCACCCACCCACCCACCCACCCACCCACCCACCCACCCACCCACCCACCCACCCACCCACCCACCCACCCACCCACCCACCCACCCACCCACCCACCCACAAATTGGTGAGCTCGCCATAACATAGGCAAACGGCAGAACTTGGACAAAACCCAAAAAAGCCAAGCATCTTCAGGATGTGCTTGTGCTCCTGACCGGAGGCCACAGTTGTAGCTGCCAGCCTCTTCCTCAGCGATCCGATGTGGCAAGTCTAAGGAGCCAGCGACCGGAAGCTCAGTAACAAGGTTTGTTTGCCCTGAAGCTGGACTTCACTGAGCGGGCAACAAGAACCATGGGCCGGCGGGTTGGGCTGCAGGCCGTTCGTTCTTTCTCTGGGCATGCAAAATAGTGGCAGTTGAACAGGAAGCTCTACCAAAAACGACTGCGACATGCTGCAAATTATGTCCGGGCTGCGTGTGCAATGCATGTAAATGTGAATGCATATGTTTTCATAAGCGGGCATAAACACACTTTTTGCACTCCATATACACCCTAAAATGCATATATATATATATATGTGTGTGGAATCAGCGACGAGCATGTATGAAGCCCAACCGAGATCCAATTTCACTCGCAAGGTGACCCCGCCAAAACCGCAGTTGAGTCTCTTGAGTTGCTGGAGCTCCACCAAATCCTCCGAGATCCTGGCAGGAGAAAAACCGAGGATCCGAGCATAGGGGACATAATGTTGACCCCGGATTCATAAACCACTGTTTATTAACGTGGGGGTGTTCCCTTCCAAAAGTGATAAATCCCCACTAAAACAGGGGACACCCCCAGGGGTGTATTAATCCGGGGTCGACATTAAAGCGCATGAACAAGAAAAGTCCCGCCCAACACTTGCGACCCAACATGCAACCTGGTTTTGGGGACATGGAAGACGGCACCAAGGCTTGTTTCCATTCAAACTTGCCGTCTCGATGGTGGTTTGGAGTCCCAAGGGACACGCATAGAAACCACCCCCCAAAGTATTTGACATCCTCAAACTTACCGTCTAGATGGTCCAAACGTAGTTTTGAGAACCCCTCAACATCTTCACCTTGACAAACCCGGCCGAGAGAATTTCGTCCTGGCCGACTTCAGCATCGCCGCTTGCTCTGCCAGATGTTGCGCACGAGTCTCTTCCAACTGCTGGCGCAACTTCACATCCTCTGCCGCCAGGTCGTCCAGTTTGCACCGCACACGGCCCAGGGAGGTCTGGAGAGTCTCCTGGATATGGGCCGGCGCCCCGTTAGGTGGAGGACCTGTGATTGAATTGCCCTGACCTGCAACAATACCCCACAATGCAAAAACATGCGTCCAAATGTGCAAAGGCATTCATGGCTGCCGATGCTTGCGCCATGATTGATCACACCGTCCTGGGCTCACCCAAAGGCACACCACCCAAAACGAGGTGTGTTTGGTTTGGGGAGGGGGGGGGAAGAGCTGCTTTGTGAATTGAAGATAAGTTTAGGAGATTTTCACAGATCCTATGAATTCATGTAAGCCAGGCGCAGCTAGGCCGCATTTTCCACAATGTGTCCATCCCCGAAAGCCGCCAAGCATGTCGCAACCAGAATTCTGCAAAAGGAATACGCGATAGCGCTTGCGCGCTTTGGACCAATTGACTTCAGTGCGCACTATGCAATGCGTGGGATCCAAAGTTCTCAGGATGGCAACGGCACGCAACTTGTCTTGGAGGTGTTGGTGATCTTTGCCGGGAGCCATAACTTGCAGGGAATGAGGGATGCTTCCTATAAACAATCCTTTGTGGATTCCTTTGGGGGAATCCCTAGGTTCATTCCCAGGACCCTGCATCATTCCCTACTAATCACCGGCAAAGTAACAGGGATCCTTACATTATACACCTGAACATTGCAACTTGTAAATGGAGGTGCCCTTTATGTTGGTCTTGAAAAAGCCACATGTGTCAATTGGTTTCACAATGAATTTCTATTCAGGAGCCCTGAGATAAGGAAAGCTCGAAACCTACCGGAAGCCAGGCAGAAGGGTACGCTGTGGGCCCTGGGTTTCTGCACCCAAGCTGTTTGTCATGAATTCAAGAGCCCACAGGGTACCCCTCTCAAGTCAGGATGGTGTCTGAGAACGGGCCCCACCTTCTGCGCCTCAAGCTCCTGCACCTTCTGACGCTGACCGTCCACACGTGCTTGCCTCAGTCATGGCTCGCTGCGCGTTCAAAGCGCGCTGCAATAATCAGACTTTGAAATAAGGTCCATCAGTGCCTCATATTCATGCCCTCATATTCAGAACCCCCCCCCCATTCCCCCATTTTGGCGAAATCCAAATCCCAGAACATATTTAGAGCCCCGCTGTATTTGCACAATCCGGCTCGGCCCAGAAATTCCGGAAATATTGAAAGAATATTGAACGACGGCGCTTGTCAACAATCATGTGGGCATCCGCCGGAAGTTTCTACGTCCAGCGCCCCCACGACCTCGGGTAGAAGGCTCTCAGTACACCGTTTTCAGGACGTGAATCGCCTGCGCCCCCAAAAGAACAAAGCCATAGGGGGGCCTGTGCGGGTTGCTTTCCACAACAATTCAAAACCCGCAAATGCCATGCCCCACCCCCCACCCCCCCCCCCGGAGTCCGCCGCGCGGCGAGTTGGCAAGTTGGTCCGCCTGCGTGGGGCACTTTTCTTCAGCACACATGGGCCCCTTCAACGTGAACCGGGGTCGTGGACGTCTTTGAGGGAACTGGGCTTCCCTCAGATCCCCTGCTAAAAGCTTAACTCGTGGGTGAAATTCAGAAACCACCACCAAACCAACTAATGTTGACCCCGGATTAATAAACCCCGCTTATTAATATGGGGGTGTTCCCCTCCAAAAGTGATACATCCCCACTAAAACCAGGGAACCCCCATATTAATCCACTGGTTGCTTCATTAATCCGGGGCCACCAGTAAAAACCCAACATGCTACTGGCTGGGAGCCACCAGAAGTGGATCGAACTGGTTCAACTGGTCACACCCGTGGAGCTACAAGAGCCAGAGCCTGCCTGAGCCTTCCCCCCCACCCCGACAAGCAGCGATGGCTATATAACTCACTTCCCAAGTTGACTGGCCAAAAAAAAATGAACTTTTTATTTACCACTAAAATGGTCTTTCCAAAAAGTTTCAAGTCCACCAACACAGGAAGTGAGATAATCATAGCACAGGCCAAGCCCACCCGTTGAAACAGTTAAGGCCCAGGAAGCGTGCATGCAAATAGGGGCGAAAACTGAACCCCACCCCGGTCGCTCTGCCAGGAATCCAGTTTCTTGACGCAAAGGTGGATTAAAACCCAGAGCTCGATTCCCCAGACTCAGAAAGGGGAGCCAACACCTGGGCCCAACTATGCCTACCTGGTGGTCAAAAAATGGGACCCGGCTTAAACCACTCTAATCAACATTTAGGCCATGGGTCAAAATCCAAATCGTACCCCCAGTGAACATCCCAATCCCCACTAAAATAGACTAAAATGGGTGGTGCACCGAAAACCCCCAAAATGGTACCATTGGTTTTGCCCCACAGCCATTTCTTTATCTTAGGCCGGTATGGTAAGCAAACTTTGTCCATGGTTGGAGCCCTTGACCTCGTGCCTTGTGGCCTGGCTTGCTACCAAAGGGCCCTACCCCGGATGGACATGGTCTATTTTTGCAAGCCAAAATTTTAGAGAACCCCGAATAGCCTTTGTTGTGTCAACTGAGTAGTAACTGAAGGCCAGGCAAATGGGCAAAGTGCCCCACTATTCCTGAACCCCTTCCCCTGCGACCAGCCATGGTTGTGGAACATATTGTGACACCAAAGGCCATCCCCAAAGGCCATCCCCATAACTACATTGTCACTTTAAAGGGGGCTCCCCTAACATCACAAAACAAACACCTAGTTGTGTATCGCGAAGACTTGGCATCCTTCATCCCCCAGCAATTAACATGGACCCGGACGTTCCGGGGGTCCTGGTTTGGACTGGGTCCGGAACCTCAGGTTCCGGCTGTGAAACGGGTGGAGGGTAACTCAGCTGTGAATCTCTGAAACCACGTTGTCCACAGCCAGCCTCCAGGCGCTCGCGGTGCCGCAGTTCGTCCACCTCCGCGCTCATGCGCCGGCAAATGCCCGCGAGCGCCTGCTCGTGCTCCCCGTGGCACGCGTCGAACCGCTCCTGACAGAACCAGCGAAAACGGGGGTCCTTCGTGTGAACCTCGGATTCATCCGGAGGGCCATACGAATCCGCAACTAAAATGCGTCCAAAACCTCCAGACGAGGGCACCCTGAAATAATCGCAGCCTCCGCCTTTCAGTTGGCTGTTTTTGTTTTTTTGTTTCACACTTTGGAGGGGATTTCAGTCCCCCGGATTTATTTGAGGTTGACATTAAAGGATACGTCCATAAAACCAGCTGCTTTACGAGGAATCGAATCCTCTAGCCTAAGGACGCCTGAAGCCCTGGGTTTTTGGCACGGGCATGGGTGTCCTTTTTGTCTTTCTGTCTTGCTGTATTTGTGTAGTTGGCTTCTTGGTTTCGTTGGTTGGTTGGTTGGTTGGTTGGTTCGTTCGTTCGGCGGTTGCATGGGTCAGCTGGTGGTTGGGTCAGTTTGTCGGTTGGTCGGTCTGTCGGTCTTGTGTTCTTCTTTTAGTTGCTTTGATGGTGTTCTTCCTTGTTTTGTCGACCAAGGAACGTGCCAAGAAGCTCAATAGGACTTTGGGTGCGTGATAGGGGCTTCTCAGGGTTGGGTGAGATCAATGTGCGCGCAAAGAAACCGGGACCTGGGGCGCCGCTTGCTGCCAAAGGGGGATGCCTGTTTCCAGGCGACGTTCAAACATGCCAAACGCGCTTGCGGGTGAAAAGCCAGACACACAAACAAAGAAAAGTAGCCGGCCACCAAAGCTTCATGTTGGAATTCAATTCCCCTTGAAATAATTGGGGTGGGGTCAACCCCTCCCTTTCTGTAGAGAAATTTCAAGAGGGGGATGGAGAACAAACATCTGGGTGTAAACAAATCCGCTGACAAAGAAAGCAGCTGCCTCCATGCTCTGGAATGGCGCCTGGGGTGACCTAGCTTGAACATTTCAACGCAATTGAAGTGACTCTCTCTCTCTCCCAGGGGGCAGGGTAATTGCTTGGTAAGTGGTCGGTAGCTATGGCTATAGCCCCCCCAAGGCCATGGTTGTAAGTCCCCTAAGTTGTTTTTATAACCAGGGTAACTAACCACCAAGTACCCTGCCCCTTCAAGAATGGCCCGGCAACTAGCGACTAGTCAAAGCCACACATCACCTAATTGCGCCTTGCACCAACCCCGGAACCCAGTCAATTCACATTTTGGACTTCCCCGCGCGAAGGCCTTGGTAGAGTCCAGGAATTCTTCTTGGATCTTCAGCTTCTTCTGCGCCTCCTGCCCCGTTGCAACCGATTCAATCGGACCAGTTACAGGCGCAACTAACCAGTGACCCGAAATGCGGTCCTGGACCCAATCGGATCAATTGCCCCGAGCCCAACCAATGTTCCCCAGGAAGGGAGGATGAGAAGGGAGCCCCTGCTTGGTGGGGGACAATTCAAGCAAAAAGGGAAAATGATGGCACAACCGGGCAATCCTAACCACTCTCCAAAATGCAGGCGGTTGAAGATGGCAAAAAACAACAGGAAGAAAAAAGAGACTTCTCTGATATGTTTTGTGCTGATTGCTAACTGTATCTCAGCTTTGCTTGGATTGACGGAGGGCGGCACAATCAAAAGGCCACTTGAAGCCCCTGAGAGTCGCAACAGCTCGAGCTTCAGCTTCTTCAGCCCGCGTAGTACCGCAGGAAAACGACATGGAGAGCGCCGAAGTCATCCACTTTTGACCGTCGTCGCATTACGAACATGCGCCAGCCCAGTGCAGTACTGCGAACTGCGGATAATATCGGGGATTGGCCCAGATCCTAGTCAAAGAAACCCGCAAACCAAGTCACTGAGCAGGGAACCAGCCCAAGTGCGCTCCCCGGGGTTATCCAAAGTTAACATAACATCCCCCACATCCACCTGTCCAAACCTTCCTGGGGCTATTCTCGTCTCGGATTCTCGCCGAATTCTCGTGCGTCTCCTGGTGCTGAGACTTCATGGTCTCCAGAAAGATCTCCCACTGCCGATTCATGTTGTGGAAGCTGACGACCTAACTTAAGGCTTTAAGGCACCCCGAAAACAGCAAGGGGCTGCGTGGGCGGAGGATCCACTTTGTTGACGCTGCGCCGGCCAGAGCAAGAGAAAACAACAAAAGCAAGCGGGGATTGATTTGGAGGAAATACAAAAAGGCCATCTCTCCAAAACAGCCAGCCAACCAACAAGCCACCATCCCTGTAGCAAACTAGCTATTGCTTATTTAGGATTAATCGATTTTAGCGGGGAACCCAACGAATAAACTGGGCAAAAAGGGGTTGAGCAACAAGACAGTAAATGTAAGAACCCCCTCCAAATGCAACCACTTTCAGGGAACCCTCAAAATTGTGGGAAAAACGAGGTTCCAAGCAAAGAAACCCTCCCACCCTTTCTCACAGGGCAGGGACCCAGTCCCTGCAAGAAGGAAACTTGTCCAAATCAGGACGCCCCGAACTTCGAACGGTTCCATGTGAAAAGGCTGGGAGGGTAACGGATACCAAGTTTTCCTACACAACTGAGTGTTTGTGATACTGGGGGAGTTCCCAGGTTCCAAAGAAAGACACCTTCAAGCTCTTTCCATGATTAGAGTGGGGACCAGTTGTAGAATGTAGATTTTATTGTTTGCTTCACTTTGAGTCAGGTAAAATGTAAAATGTGTCCTAAGCCTACTTTAAAGGGGCCCAGAAACAAAAACACGCCTCCGCGCCAAGAGGCGCGCTCGGCCAGCTGCTTCAGCAGCCCCGTGCGGTTGCTGCGGCTCAGCTTGAGGCGTTGCGTGGCCTGAAGGAAGCCGCGTGGAGGACGCCCAAAATGGGAATGCCATGTGCACCCTTCCCACTAGCATGGCACCTGACGGCGGGGGGGGGGGCTTGGTTCGGGCCATGGTTCTTTTGAAGGGAGAGAATTCAGGACATGGGTACCCACCAATTGGCATGGGACCTGACGGGGGGGGGGGTTCCTGGTTGAAAGGGACCGGGTACCGAACGTCAGGTTCCATGTGAAAAGGGTGGGAGGGGCTAGGTTTGAAGTTGGCTTTAAGCAGGTAATGAGAGGAAAACCGCGCCGACCCATCATGATTCAAAGAGTCACACTCGTGTTGGTGGCTCACTGCTCAAACGTTGTCAACATCGTATGGAAAAATACGCCTCAGGCCTCCTGCAACAGCAAGACACAAGCATCAACAGCGTTATTTGCTAACGCCGATGAAGAATGTGATGTGGCTTGACGATGACTGCTGATGTTCATGCATATGTACGTATGTATACACCTGTATACATATATGCAACACAGTTGCTTTGTCGTATGGAACGCCTCTTACTTGCCTGCCAACTTTCCACCAAGCCAAACTCTCTGGTCCCCTTGGTGATTCAGGTCAGTTTGGCCCCAGTCTCTTGCAAGCATCTCTTTCCATCCAAAGGGCATCTAGGACACACACACACACACACCCAAGATTCCACTTTCTGACTACCGGCCCCAAGATGGACTTAAACCCAGGGGTTCTCCTTTTGGAGGACATGAGTGACATGAGCCACCCCTGGGTTTAACCTTGGAGTAGTCAAAACGTGGGGAGCCCTGCACACACCTCCTCCCCCAAGCCGCCCCACCCCTGCCTGATGTGCCAGGAGGTGGCCCTGCAGCACCCCCTTCTCGCTCATGCCCCAGTGTGCCGCCAGCTCGGCGCCGCAGACGTGGTCGTACGGGGACTTCCTAGAAAACATGTGGCTGGCCCATTTCGATCCACTTGGGCGTCCGGTTGGAAAAACATTGGGGGAAGGGGGGGTGTCTTAAATGGCGGGTAGCCACGCTTGATCGGTTTTAAAAGGACGCCAAAAGGAAACCAAGCCATTTTGGGGGGTCCCCTATTTTGAGACAATGCATCAACCCACAGACAATGTACCCAGTAAACACCATTTAGGAGGCTGATAACCCCAGGTATAAAGTTGTTTGAACCCACCTGCTATGTGCCCCATTCCAAGACAACCATGCTTCTGCGGAACAATGCGTTTTCACAAGAAGCCGTGAGGCGGGCGGGTAGCTATGGAACGCTTCCAGTCGATGTTCAGCAGGAAGCCAGGAGTGCATTGATTTGTTAATACTATCGGTTCATTTGCGTTGGCACCGTTGAAGCTAAATAGGTCTCCGAATGCTAGCTATGCTTTGTTGTTCGCCATGAGCTGCTTTCCAACAGTTGTGGATTCATGAGTTCAATTATTCAATTGCCAGAGCCAAAGCGCAAGCCGGTTCGGAGAGGAAGGTGGTAAGAGTGAACATGGTACTGTAAAATGATCCTCACATTGATTTAACTTTGCCCTGGAAATAAACCTCTCACAGTAGAGCAAGCAGCTAGCTATAATTTCTCCGGCTGCCAAAATTCCTATTGCACAACTTAATCATTGCAAAATACGGACCGGCCCAGTTTCTGAGAGGGGCCAGGCCCACCACTCACAAATGTCAGGCTGGTTCTGAGGCTGCTTCAGTGCACTTGACCAGGCAGGATATACTGGAGAAAGGCTCACAAAAAAAGAGAATTTCGCTCAGAAAACTGCCTGCTTTCTTGACCAGACTCAATTAAAACCTCCAAAACAGTGGAAACTGTTGGCCGGTTGAAAGGGAACGCGATGGAAACCGTGAATTGCGAAAGGTCAAGCATGTTCCCTCAGATGCCTCATGGAATTCCAGGAAGAAAAGAATCGGCATCCGACTTCTTCTTCTTCTTCGTCTTTTGTTTTTTGGCTTGGTGGAGTTGAAAGGGAACCCTTCCCCCAAACAAAAGGACCAAAGGGCACCACCGGGCAGCTGGGTTCCTTCGCCCGGCCGGGCAGTGGCTTCGGACCCGAGACCCCGCTGATCGAGCGGCACGGTGTCCAGTTCTGGCTCGGGCCCGCGGGCTTCACATCCTCGGAGCGCAGAACCGGGGGAGAAGGCTGGAGGCCGAAGCGAAGACAGGGGGAAAGTTCAGCAAGTTTTGGTTTTTAGAGATGTTAGCAGGTAAAATCTCAAAAAACAAACAAACAATTGTTGTGCAGGTTAAAAATTGTTTTTTTTTCTAGATGTTAGCATGTTTGAGTTTTTGTTTGGCTTTGTTTTCAAGAGCTGCCACAATCCTTTCACCGATTCTCTTGGAACGGGTCAACGAAGCTTGGTTGCCTCGGAAAGGGGACACACCCTCCCCCACCATCTGGTAGCCGAGGTTTCTTCACAAACACCAGTAGTGAAGCATGTTTAGTTGGCTGCTCTGGGTTGGCCTGGTGCGTAAGGCTTGGCGGGGTTGGCCTCCAGGCTTTTGCGGCACAAAACAGAGACTTGATGTCCAGCGGCCGGCACAGCCGCAGTCAAGTTTGCCCACCTCAGAAGATAATTTAGCGGCAGCATCCACTCACAGAAGCAAGTGCAGGTAAGGCCTTGCGCCGTGAATGGCAACAAACACATGTGCAACTTTACGCAGCAAAGTTGTTCAGCACTCGGAAGCTCTTGCGTCAACCGACGCATCAAGCCCAATGGGATCGCAACACATCTAAACATGCACCCTCAACCGACACATCAAGCCCAGCAGAATCGCAACACATCCAAAAAAGTAGCCTCAACCGAAGCTCGACAGAATCTCAACACATCCAAAAATGCAGCCTCAACCAAGGCATCAAGCCCAGCGGAATCGCAACACATCTCAAAATGCAAGCCTCAACCGACGCATCAAGCCCAACAGAATCGCAACATCCACATCTAGAATCTAGAAATGCAGCCTCGACCGACGCAACGGAATCGCAACACATCTAAAACATCAGCCGCGACCAACGCCACCAAGCCCGCAACACAACAAACAATGCAGCCTCAACCGGCGCAACAGAATCGCAACATCTAAAAGTGCAGCCTGAACTGACGCATCAAGCCCAAAGAAGCACCCCCCTATCTTCCATGTGTTTCCAGTATAGTGATAGATTCCCTTGAAACCCAACAACTGCAAATGAAACATATGCTTAAGAAAATGGAAGCTACTCTCAGATGCCCAGTGGATTTCCATGGGAAAAAAGGGCATCCTTTTTGGGTTGGTTGACTTTAAAGGAATCGGAACTCTCCCCAAACAAAGTCGACAAAAGGAAGCAACCCACTGGGCAACTGGATATTCACAGGCAGAAACACACACACACACACACACTTCCAGTAGTGATAGATTCCCTTAAAAGCCAAGGAAAAATAAAACATATGCTTAAGAACATGGAAGCTTGTAATAGACAGCAAACCACTACATTAAAGGGGCCCCCTCCCCCAACAAAGTCAAAAAGAAGCACCACTGGGCAACTGGGCATTAACAGACAGAAACACACACACACACACACACACACACACACACACACACACACACACACACACACACACACACACACACACACACACACACACACACACGCACACACACTTCCAGTAGTGATAAATTCCCTTGAAAACCAAAGGCAATAAAACATACAGCTTGAGAAAATGGAAGCTTACTTTTACACTTGAGGAGCGGGTGAACGAAAGCTAGCAGTTGTTGCATGAGATGGGTCGGGTAGCTTGTGTACAACGAGAGGCCCGGCAAGATTCGTAGGATGCGACACGCAAACGCACATGGTGGCGTGGCAAACCTTGACAAATGAAAACAACGAGAGGCGTCAGAAGCTGTCTTAAAGCACCTCTGGGTTCTGCATGCTGCGTGTGCAAAGATTCTTGCGAGGTGGTTTACTG